ATTGGCGCCACGTAGCGAAAAGAAGAAACGACTGGCGCGCTGTTGTTAACTCGGCTATAATCGCGTAAGCGGTGTCTACGCCAATTAAGAAGAAGAAGAAGATACGTACTACGGTTAGATGAACAAAACTATAATACTCTGTAGCAACTGGTTGCAAGCGTATAAATATGTAATACTAAAACAAGAAAAAACGAACGGTGTCACCGAAGCAAAAAACCCTTCACAGGTGCATTTCTGTTAGTGAAAGTTTTCCATACAAGAACTTGATTGCAATGGTTCAGTTAGTATGGCAGCTATATGTTATAGTGGTCCGAATGAGCAGTTTCTTGTAGAGAAAATGACGTTTGCAAAATTTCAAAACGATATCTCAAAAACTAAGGGACTAGTTCGTATGTATACAGACAGACAGACGGATAGACAGACGCTAAATCGACTCGGCTCGACATACTGATCATTTATATATATACATACTTTATAGAGTCTCCGACCCTTCCTTCTGGGTATTACAAGCTTCGTGCCAAACTTAATATGTTCAGGGTATAAAAATTATAGACATAAGCAACACTACCTGTGTCCCACGTCTACTCAAGAGCGAACCGGCAGAATGTATCTTAATAAATAATCAACATATACCATCGGTAGATAATATATCACCTGACATTATACTATATTACTAAACAATATAATGGTATGGTAAAAATTTACAATCAAAACATAATTTTCCGGAGCATATAAAAGAGAATACCATAATTTCACAGTCTGGAGAGAAAGCCAAACGTACTCATATTTAATGGTTTTTTTTTTAAATTAACAAAATGGCAGCCGCAGGAAATTTTTTTCTAAATTTTTAGAAAAAATCAACAGTTAATTGGTCCTAAAAAACCGAAATTTTGAAGAAAAAAAACCGTCGATCCGGCCGGAGTTTGTTATGTACTCTTTGTTATGTACTCTAAAAGCTGTATAAATTTCATTAAAATCTTCTGAGCGGTTTTCGAGTTACACTTGTCACCAAATCAAAAAACATAGTTTTGAGAAAAACGGGTTTAAAGTTTCACACTAGCGCTTTGAAGTGCCCGAGGTCTCTTTATTATTTGTCGAATAACTCATAACCTAATTATCGGATCAGCGTGAAATTTTTAGATAATATTCTTAAGATATTACACTTAACGAAAATGTAAAAAAAAAATAATAATTTGTAATAATTCTGATTACCCCTAATCCCTTAATGAAAAATTTAGCAGCAATTTTACTACCGAATAAATCATTGTTCCAAGAAGAAGAAATTGTAAGTTTGGAAATGATGAAGGAACATATAAAGAATACACATCACTTGGAAACATTAAAAATTGCTCACACTGCAGCTTTAGTTACCAATTTTTTGCTCATAGTCATCTGCATGATGAGCATAATCGCAAATATCACTTTGATTAAAAAAAATAAATGCTAAGCAAATATAACAAAATTATCAAATTACCACGTAAATGTTAATATGAACGATCATAAAGAAGTAAAGACATCCGAAATATCTGCATTGGAAGAGTCAATAACTTCGAGCGAACAAACGGGGACGTTTGCTTTTGACAGCGGAAGAGTTAACAGCAGTGATGGATTACCGCCTAGGCCCGCGAGGCCCGGGCCTAGGGCGGCACAATTTGGGGGGCGGCAAAGTTTTCAGAATGACAAAATTTTTGAATCTGATGTAAAGTAACGACAATACATTTTAAAGATTTACTCTTATTTTTTTAATATAAATTTACAAATAAATTTCTATGAAATAGAATGTAATTGATTTTCTGATTAACTTTTTTATTCGTGAGTGCCATACTGATAAAAAATGTTTTATAACAGAAATAATTGAAAAGAATTGTACGTTTCGGAACATGTACAATATACATGCGAATGGTAGGCACCTTGTCGCGGTGCAGGGACATGCGGACGCTGTAAAAGACATTCGCATGGCTGTACTGCCTCTCAGCTACCCGGTGGAGTCGCTTACACCGGAGGAGCTCACGGTCCTCCAGGATCTCCTCATGGCTCATGACTATGCGGCGTCCTTCCTGGGAGTGGAGTTTAGAGGAGGAATGCTGCAGGTAGACTGCGTGGATGAGGCGTCCGCTGCCTGGCTGAATTAGTACGCTCCAAAGCTCATAGGCTTGAAGGGTCCTGTCCTTTGCGCGAAGAGGGCGGAAGATTTGCCAATCATGCACAGCATGACAACGCTGGTGAAAAACCAGAACTGGGGACCCAGCATCTCGTCCTGGCGCGTCGTAAGCAGCAAAATGGGGGAGATCGGAGGTATGAAAGGATGGAGACTCAACCTGTTCATCGACGATGAGTCGTACAGGTACGTCCGGGCAGCGAGCTTCCGCCTGTACTACAGGTTCAGCACGGTGGTCATACGGCCTAACAGGCCCGCAGCCATCAGGGGCAATAGAGCAGCAACTCTCCAGAACAAAGATGCGAACAAACCGACAGTGTCTGGAGCAGGCCCGGAGGTACTAGGTATGCGGGTGGACGAGGTGTCGGAGCAGCCATGCGGAAGCTGGACTGAGAAGGCAGTGCCATCGGCTACTACCGGCGTCCCAAAAGGAGGTCGCGTAGATGAGCTACCCTCCACGCAGGAGCTCCTCGAAGGGTTAGGTGACCCAATGGACAGCAGTACGGGGGACGGCGGGGAAGAGGATCTGCCCTTCCTTGAACCCATTTTGTAATGCGGCTGCTCACGCGGCTGCAGCCTCAGCCGTTATAACCAGCAGGTTCACTGTGGAGAARCTGGGCATACTGCTGATCCAAGAGCCTTGGGTCCACAGAGGAGAGGTTAAAGGCCTCAAAACGAAGGCAAACAAGGTAATCTGGGACCTCTCTAGCGAAAGGCCTAGAACTTGTATAGTGGTCAGGCACAACATTGATTTCTTTTGCATTTCAGAGTTTCTGACTCAGGACTTGGTGGCGGTGCAGGCCAGGGACTCTGAGGGCAAGGACTTCATCCTGGCCTCAGCATACTTCCCAGGGGAAGCACTTACAGCGCCTCCGAAGATGGTAGAAAGGCTGGTAGAGCACTGCAGACGGCACAGGCTCCCCCTCATTATAGGCTGCGACGCTAACGCTCATCACTTGGAATGGGGCAGCACCGATTGCACCACAAGAGGTGAGTCTCTTTTAGAATTCATTGTAGGTAGTAACTTAGAAATAGAGAATGTAGGGTGTGAACCCACGTTCATAACTATAAGCAGAAGGGAGGTGTTAGACATCACCTTTAGCAACGAACCTGCAATCGGACTGGTCTCGCAATGGAGGGTCTCGACAGAGCCCTCATTGTCAGACCACAGGATCATAAGGTTCAAGCTAAAAGTAGAGGTTAAACAACTCCCCCCCTAGACGCAACCCTCGGAGGGCAAATTGGAACGCGGATATATTAAGTAATGGTTTAAGCAGAAGGGAGCAGACAGATGATAGCGCTTCAGGCCTTGGGCTGGAGAATAGGCTCTCTAAGCTAAATGAGTCTATAATCAATGCTTATCATGGCAGCTGTTCACGGCGGACTCGATCCGGTGGGCGCTGGCCTCGTTTGAGAGCTTCAAGTCTCCGGGAGTGGATGGCCTCTTTCCGGCGCTGTTGCAACAGGGGGAGCAGCTTTTGCTGCCCCACCTAGTTCGACTGCTGAGAGAGAGCCTCGCATTGCCGTATATCCCTGAGGTATGGAGGACAGCGAAGGTGATTTTCATACCTAAGGTAGGAAGGAAAAACTACTCGTTGGCGAAATCATTCAGACCGATAAGTCTAACGTCCTTCCTACTGAAAACCATGGAGAAGATCGTGGATCAAGAAATAAGGATGAAGGCGCTAAAGAGTTGAGAGAGGTTGAACTAAATATCAACCCCTCCAAGACGTCTGTAATCCCATTTACAAGACGCAGGACCCTACCCGGCCTCAGGAATCTCCTACTAGGAGGTAGTGAAATGGGGATGACCAGCAGTGTTAAGTACCTCGGTTTAACGTTAGACTCCACGCTGAGGTGGAAGCACCACATAAACCTGACTTTGGTCAAGGCGACAAAGGCCTTAATGGTGTGTAATCGTCTTGCAGGAAGGTTCTGGGGTTTAACGCCAAGAATAGTTAAATGGTTGTACACCATGATAGTAAGACGGATAATCACATATAGGGCGGTAGCCTGGGCCTCAGTAGCATCGCAAACAGCGGTTAGGACACAACTACTGAAGTTGCAGAGGCTCGCCTGTGTCTGCATGACGGGTACAATGCGAACCTGTCCAACGGCGGCACTGGAGGTTCTTCTTCAACTTACTCCGCTTCATCTGGTCTGGTAGCCAAACACACTCTTCTGCAAATAACGGCAGAGGGGTGGGGAAAAGGAAACATAGTCTCATCCCGGAGGATGGAGAAGATAAGTGGTAAATTACCACTGGTCCTCCTCCCGTGCGATAGTACTACTAAAAAGGTAAACCTAAGGAAGATTTTTAAGGTTACCCTCAGCAGCAAAGAGGATTGGAACGACTCCAACCTCGAGCGGATGTTGAGGAACAGTACTATGAGGTGGTACACAGATGGCGCTAAAATGTCGGAGAGAATCGGTGCAGGGATTGTGGGCACACACAGTAGGCTCCCAGTACCCATGGGGGAGTTCCCAAGCATTTTCCAGGCAGAGGTGTATGCTATAAGCCGGTGCATAAAAAAGAACCTCCATCGCAACTATCGCAATGAGCGTATAGCTATTCTAAGCGATAGTCAAGCGGCGCTGAAGGCGATCTCCTCTTACGAGATCAAGTCGCTTTTAGTGCAGGAGTGCAGGGAGAGACTGAATAGCCTTGCGAACAGAAACCAGATACACCTGATATGGGTGCCTGGTCACAAAGGTATAGCCGGCAATGAACTGGCGGACGAGCTCACCCGCTCCGCAGCCTCAAGCAGGATGGTAGGACCCGAACCCTTCACAGGAGTGGATCCCCACACCATCAAGGAGCTGCTCCGTAAAAAGGAAAGAGCAGGCAGGGAAGAGCACTGGCGACAAACTCATGGTGTGAGACACGCGAAGCTGCTAATGGGAGGTTACAACCTGAAAAGGTTCAAAATAGTAATAAACCTCCCCAAGAGCAAACTCAGTCTGTTAGGTGCATGGTATACTGGCCACTGTAAACTGAATAGACATCTGCACAGAATGTGCCTATCAGCTTGTGCCAACTGCCGTTTCTGTGACAGGGAGCCTGAAACTCCGGAGCATCTGTTGATCGACTGCACAGCAGTCTGTAGTCGCAGAGCCAAGGCCCTTGGGGTTCTATTTCCGGATAGGGATCGCATTGCCTCGCTAGCGCTAGTCTACTGGACTTCATTAATGGGCTGGGGCTAAGCGAGGCACTGTAAGTAAGGAGAGGGCACAATAGGCCAAAGGTCGCAGTGCATTCCTCATCATCATTCATTCATTCATTCATGTATAATAATGTTACTTTTTGGCTTAAGACTAAAATGTAGATTAGTTGCAATTGCAAGCAAAACGCTCGATACTTATAGATATGTACATGCTTAAAATTTTATTTATATTTTTTTCTTTTTGGATTCGTTAAATTTGTTTATTTGGACAATTCCTTTGATAAATATATATGTATATATATATACCAATATAAGTATATAACTTAGCAAACCATACATCCAAAAAGTATCATTTTATGCATTAATATCATATGATACAAAGTAACTAAATCGCTAAGAGTGCGACTTGTGGGAAGCGCAACGTCAGCAAACTCCGTACCCGTTGCAGCGGCAAACGTAGGTTTAGAGTTAAGTGTAAATAATTGTAAAATTCAGTTCTTACACAGAATTCAATAATGGAGCATTGCTCCAAAAAAAGGAGCACAGCTCTCGAAATAAATTTTTTTTATTAAAATTAACTAAACGTTTTTTAACTGGCGCCCGAGCATGGACCAGCGCGCGTAAGTAGTAATTGCCTGAAAACCAAAAAGTAAGGCTACGCGACTGGTGAACGGTAGTGAAAAACAAGAAAATACTGTGCTAACAAGCGGCTACGACGTACAACGTGGGATTTGGAAACGTCGAGGGACCCCAATACCGGTAGAGAAAAGACAACCCTGGAGCGATTAAAGACATCCTACGAAAAGCTGGAAACCACTACTGTAAGCTTTATAAAATATTTTAAGATTATTATAAAGAATGTTGTTCAACCCAAAAATAGAGAGAATCAAAAGAAAAAAACGGCCTTAAACTAAAAGAAAATAAATTTAAATTAAAGGAATGTAATCATTCAATAAAAAAAGAGAGGAAAAAAAGGTCCTCAATTAAATTATGCTTTTACAAAAAATTCTAAAATTACTAAAAAAAGTGCTATTACAAAGAAAAGAGATTTAATTATTTGATAGAAATAAAAAGATAAATATAATGCCAGACACAGCTGAAGAATTAATTGAACAACTAAACCAAATGAGGTTAGATTATGGGCAAACCACCCATCCTTCAAACCCTTCCAACCATCCTTTAAACCCTCCCACCCCTAACCCCACCTAATAACATAAATAAGAGCCCAACTAAATAATGTAAAACTAAAGAAAAACTATAAAGATAAATACCTTTCCGAAATAAAAATTAAAACTATTACAAAATTAAATTATTATCTATATTGTAATCCTCCCAAACGTAGATAACCAAGTTTGTAAAACTTTCACAGCTCTAATGTGAAAAATAATGGGAGAGTTAATAAAATAAATTTCAACAGAATTCTAAATAGCGCAAAGAGAATTTATAGAATAAAAAAAAATTTAAAAATATAATTCTCTGCGAATATGCTTAAATAGAGTAGATTTAAGTAATGATTCTTGTATAAATAATCTTTTAAAAAAGCCGTTTGCCAAACTGCACGGAGGTCCACAACCAGCATACATCCCAACTATAGAGGGACCCGGAATAATACTACTAAATAAGTACAACGAAGAAATTTCAATATACAACGAATCTACATTTCTAAACGGAACTTTCATCATTTTGTATACCAACGTAACCATTGTTATCAACGGGAAAAAGTTCTATAACGAAGAAAGAACAACAAGTAAACCACTACCAACGATCCAACAACCGTCATCCGCACCATTCAATATAGAAGAATTCCTCTCGCTGGAGAAGCTGAAACAGCTTAACTTCAACAATACAAAAGTCATAACTTTCTACTTTTGTAAATAATTTATATTTTTATTTCTTTTTGGTCTCAATAAATGAATTTGAAATTTGAGATTATTGTCAGTAGAGTTTTGAATCCAATAAAGCAGAGATAAAGAGATCCCGAACTCTCCTGTCACTGGAAATCAGGAATAAAGGGACGTTAAACTTATTCCAGTGTGAGAGCGCCTCAAAATTAGCGTTTTTTATGACATTTTCCATTATGGCCAGATCAGAAAAAAAGCTATTTTTTGGGCATTTTAAATAAAAACAACCAACACTTAGTACGAATAAAAATTATTATATAGTGGTTATTTATTATATGGAGAAACTATTTAAATTTTTTTAAAGTATATTAGAACAAYCGACTTTTGACCTTTCAATACCCAATAAAAGGATTTAAGGTTGTTAGCTCTCAATTATTAAATATTAATACTATGATGCTTCAAATTACAAAACCTTTCATCAAATACCTTTAAATTTCACAAATTTATTCAATTTGCATTGTTTTACATTTTTTACAAGTGGTATTGAACGATGCAACAAATCCCTCCGCTTACGTATTTTTTCGTTAAGATTTCAATCTGGCCATYGCTCGTTTCCAATTGTTAAACGTCAAAACCTCCTGAAYTCGATCAACTGTCAAAGTTTAGGTGGTTTTGACGTTTAGCAATTGTTCTCTCACTTCCAGTGAGAGAGGAGTTAAACATCTCATTATCTCTGCTGGAAATATGAGAGCCGCTCACCTACCGAACTTTGACAGTTGACTGGATTGAGTAGGTTTTGACGTTTTGCAATTGGAATGACTGGAACGGCCAGATTGAAATTATACCAAAATTTATGTGAACGGAGGAATTTGTTGCCGCCGTTGAAGATCACTAATAAAAA